TAGGGGGGGGGGGGGCGGCGCGCACGCAGTCGCAGTGCTGGCGATTTACTGGTAAATGAGTGGTATTTACCACTTATTTGATTCTCCTAGGGAGTGGTATGGTATGAGCAGAGAGTGGTATGGTAAATTACGAAACTCCGTGGAATCATCAAATTTTCGGGATCTGAGCCGAGTCTGACTCTGAGGCTGGTTTGCGGGTATACCCGGGTTTTACCTGCAAGTTGCTCACGCACTTGTATTTGAATACATTATTCATATTCATGAGTACAGGCAGACGCGAGTATTCATGTTCATGGATACCAGACGTCATGACTACTCATACTCAACAATACAAGCTGCCAAAGGATGAGTTGAGTTACTCATTGTAATCTTGAATGGGCTTGGAGGCCAAAGCGAAATTCAGCCAAATTGGCAAAATACCCAAATACCGGGTATTTTGCGGGTATACCTGGGAAAACCCGGGTATACCTGGAAAATACCGGGTATTGATTGTTGGCCGTAGAGTGTTTGATTGTTCTGGGGGGCTATACCAGTAAATCGCCAGCACTGGGCGCGCGCGACCGGTCACCGGACTTTATCTTATGTGAAACCAGTTCCGCCGACGATTGGTAGTAACTCAACTGCATAAATGCGTCTTCACTCACCATCATCACAGGTCTACGAGAGAGCCGTACTCTCTACACAGCGAGGATGCCGCGAGTATCATTTTTTCTGTCGTTTCTCTTCTCGTCAGTCGCGTCCATGGTCGCGTCTCCTTCCTCTCTTTACTCTTATATCGCAAAAGCCCAAAACACACAGTCACACTGCCCGCGACAGAATGCAATGCACCAATGTCGGGATCGCACGACGAGTGGAGCTTCTATTCACCTCGCTTCTATTTTCACCTCGCTCCAAAGGTTTCGTACCTCGTAACTCCTTCTTGCTCCTCGAGACGTGCCGCTGGCACGAATAAGACCGCTGCTGCGCAGCAATCGCAGAGATCGATCGAGGAGAGCGGGAAGGCTGGCGGCGGTCGAAGCGGGTAGATGGGCGACGGCCGTACTATATCTGGCTTCATGCTGGAGGGGATGTTGGAGGAGACGCCGAAGTGGAATGTGAAGGCGCCCGGGTCAGCGCTGTGGCCGCCGACCAGGATGTCCGATGCCGAGGTGGGAACCGACGGAGTCGGTGGAGTCAGCCCCACCTCGTTTGACGACAGTGGGCTGAAGAAAGAGCACGAACTTTCGCTGCGTGACGTGATGTCGGCCAATGGGTCCGGCTTGATGCCCCGCCCCAAGCCCGGTGAGGCATAGCCGCCGCCGGCGTACCACCAGCGCCAGCAGCACGAGCCGCACCGCGTGCAGCTGGAGTGGCAGGCGTGCTGGCAGGTGATGACGTAGCGCCACCAAACGTGGGAGAGATAGACGCACCTGGACCAAAAGGCCGCGAGGGATGGTACGGAGGGAGTGCAGGGGCGCCGGAGCCAGTGCAAGAGAAAGGGTAAGGGTGCATGGAAAGGGTAAGGGATGAGGCGGACAGCGCACGCGTTGAGAAGGCCCTGTGACGGCTGCGTCAAGGCATGCGCATCGACGAGCCAGCCACGGTGTGGAGACGCCTCACATGCTGGCACGAGCTGACAGGAGCGGTGGGCCAGCGCCGGCAGCTGCGAGACGAGAAAAGCGAGCAGATAGGAGAGGTGCTGCAGCGAGAGGTGGCGCCCGATGTTCGGCGGCAGCGAGCGGCGGGCGAGGGCGCGCGTGCGTGCAAATGCAGAGCAGCACACCCCGACGGCCGCCGCGACCACGCCGTACTGCAGCACGGCGTACGGCCTGGCGCGCCGCCTGTGTATTCATCGAACATTGGTCACTCAAACACGCGCGCGGGCCCGCGAGCGGAGCGTCTCGGGTGCACCTCCAGTGACACCACGGCAGGTCATGCTCTGCATGGAGAAGGCCGTCGGGGAGGAAGATGAGGAGGGCGAGTGCCGCCTCGAGGGCGAGCGGAACGAGCCAAGCGGCGGCGATATGGCGAGCGAAGCTGCCTGGCGAGGTGACGGCCCGCTCCTCCGCATATGCCGACTGGAGATAAAAGGCAAAGAGCGCTGACATGAGAGAGGCGACCATCGAGCTATACTCGTTGAGGATGGCGGAGGCGGAGCACACCGCCGGGCCGAGCCTGCCGAGGCTGCTGCCCACCTGCCCGTGTGCCAGCTGCGCGAGGATGAAGGACAAGGAGAAGAGCAGATCAGCTGCGCCGATTCCAGCGAGCGTGCGGAGGAGCAGTGCAGAGTGGGAGTGAGAGGAGTGGGACCGTTGGAAGAGCGAGCTCGCCAGCAGAAGCATCAGGCTCCCGCCGAGCGAGGACCACGAGGCGCACCACACCACGGCTCGTCGCGCATCGGGCTCCATCCCAGATGGCGAAGCGCCCGCCGGACGACCGTTTTTAAACACCTCTCCGACGCTTTCGACTTAGTCTTCGGTTGTGCCGGGTTTCAGAATTTTACAAGGTTTCAGAATTTACAAGGTTTCAGAATTTTACAACTACGGATTGACAGCCGAACGATTCGCACTGCACTCCATCTACAAGCTGGACGGCCCGATGGACCAGCATGTGATCTTGCGACAGAGGTGGAGATTCTGACTTCGCGCCAAAGGCGCCTAGAGATCGTGTGGGCCGACTGGAGATTGCAAAATGGCGCGAAAAGAGGGTGGAGATCCTTTTGCATCGTAAATGAATCCATAGCGCATCTCCTTGAAGGTTTGAGCCCCCCTCCCCCCCCGGGCCCCCGAATCGAGATTGGAGATTGGAGATTGGAGATGGAGATCGGAGATCTGACTGAATCCGGCCTAAGATGACGACGTTGGAGATTGGAGATTGAAGATGGAGATCGGAGATCTGACTGGATCCGGCCCAAGATGTAGCGACGCTGGAGATTGGAGAGTACTGGAGAGATGGAGATCGGAGCCCCCCCAGCCCGTGGTGCCTCATCGATTTTTTTGTTTTGTTTCTAGATATAAAGGTTCACTGTGCGCGGACGGCCCGGGGAGCCTGCGGCGCCATTTTAATCTGCGCTCCTCTTTATGGCCTGCGGCGCC